TGGAGGACTGCCTGAACCGCTATGAGGAGGTCCTCGAGGCGAATAAGGATGTATCGGACGCACAAAACCCCATTCTTGATCGCTTCATGCACCAAGTTGGTGATGATGGCATCAAAACGATGACGAACTTCACTCTCACCGAGCTCCTAACTCTATACGACCTTGTCGCTACCCGCATGCGTGCCAAATGGTATGAAGGACGTGGTGCAAGAAATGGCGTGAGCACGGTCGATGCGTTCTTCATGATGCTGACTGTGCTGAAGCACTATCAATCATGGGAGAAACACGCTGTTGATTTCAACATCCGAGCGCCAACTTTCCAGAAGCTCATGAAGAAAACGATGGCCACTGTCGAACCTCAGCTTTTCAATGTGTTTGTCCGTGTTCCGACGATGACGTCTCTTCGCGAGAACAATGCAACGTTTTCCTCGTACCCGTATGCTCTCTACGCAACGGACGTCAAGTTTCAACCCTGTGAAAGACCAAGTGGCAGGTTCAACGAGAAGAAGGAGTTCTTTAGTGGTAAACACAAACTCTATGGACTGAAGATTGAAGCAAGTGTGTCCCCTGAAGGCTACTGTGTGGACCTCAGTGATCACCATCCTGGCGCGACAGCTGACATTTCCATCTTCCGCAAGAGGCTTCCAGTCCACCAAGATACCCTATTGAAGACTGAGAATGAGATGCTTGTTACCGACAACGGGGAATTGTGGAATACGTACCAGAGTATGTGGGCTGTGCTCGTGGACAAGGGGTACTACGGGCTATCCAAAGAGCTCCGTGCCATCCATCCCACGAAAGAGCGGCGCAACGAACATCTTGAGCTGTCGGAAGTTGAGCGGAACAAGAACATCTCCTCCGATCGTGTGATCGTTGAGAATTTCTTCGGCCGCGTATGCATGCTGTGGAAGGTGTCGTACGCTACTTTCGTGTGGGGTCATGACATGTACTCCATGATCCAACGCCTTACCTTCGCATTGACCAACTTTCACGTTTCGCTCCTCCCTCTCCGTGATGGTGACGCAGCGTGGTACCGTTCAGTCTTAGCTCGTTACGAGCACATGGCCTACGAGAACGGTAAGAAGAAAGCCGAAATTCAACGACGTGCGCGTATCCGACGCAATGAACGCGTTGCTTTGAGTCGCACCCGCTCGTCCCGTGTTGGACGCCAATGACTTGCTTGAAGTGCGTTCGCGGCCCAAATACTTGGATATTTGGGTAGTGCACGGTTAATAAACGTAATAAACGGGTTCTGAACACGGTTTCTGGTTACAAACATCTTTTTGAAAGGGTTTCGAATGGGTATTTGATCACATACCGGGTAAAAGGCACGAAAACGTGTGTGACGTGGTTCGAGACGTCTTTGACCCTCTTACCCTGGTGAAAAATCCGTTTCTTACCGTTGTGTATTCAAATAACCAACGTTTTCTATTCAAATGTCCTTTAGAAATCCGTTTAGTATTCATGTAACGGATAACCGTCTGTCATGTCCGGTTTTTTAGCCTTTCTTGTCCGTTATTGACATTCATTCTCTTTCCTAGGTGTAATGCGATTTCAGTGGCGATTTGCGCATTTGCACATGTTCATCGGAGCTCATTCTCTCCTGACATGACAACGATATGAATTCGTATGTGCGGTGTATTAATCATCAACCACATCATTATATACCGTTCATCATCTCGCAATTCGTCCTTTCATCGCTTTATTCACATTCAAGCGAACTAGTCGTTTTGTCTCTTAGTGAACTACTTTCAAGAAAATTTTTACGTTTTCAAAGTCTAGGAAATAGATGGTGGAATAGATGAAGCAAAGACAGAACAAAATTCATCATATAATTGTCATTCACTTTCCGATTTGACCCGTGGGCATCATCCGGATAAAATCCGGATATTGGTTGCTGATTGTCGTCGTGTGTGAATTGGTATTACGTACGGAAGTCGGCCGCTATGGGGTTGCGTTGTCAAAAGGTCCGCGTTCCCGGTAGCCTTCGGGACCGCCCTCGGGCCCCGCCCTTAGGTATTGCTGGGCCGGATACCGGCGGTGCGCCTCGGCCTTGGTATTCCGATGAGTCCCTCGCACGATGGGCAGTAGCAAGTCAATTCAAGGTACGAAAACTTATCTTGTACACACAATATCCTCACAATTCGACTAGGTCGTTCTCAACATCAGCTTCAGGTGCCAGCACAGTAAGCTCCATGGCACCGCTTTGTTCCAGGGCATCCATAACAGTAGTACTTTCAGCTTCGAGCATATTGTCGAGGAAATCTTCGTCATCAACAGGACCGTCAATGAGTTTGCACTTTTGAACCCACTCACAATTGTTGCTTTTGGTAGGTTGTCCCGTCCAGTGTTGACCCATTCCACCAAGTCGTAGCGGCCGGGCGGTGTCAGCTTGAAGGTGCCGGTTGTGTTGCGTGCGAGTTCGGTACGTAGATACTGGACCCGGTGACGCAGAGCTGACTTGAGTGGTCTTATCCAGGCAACGTCGGCTGGTTGGCAAACCCAGGTAAACCTTGGTGGAATCTTCTCGAGGATAACGTTGAGTTCCGTAGGCCATGACTTCATCCGTGAAGTGTGCACTGAATTCTTCCCAAAGTAGGAGTACGGGTTTGCATGAAGTCCCCTGCCGGTGTCCAAAGTGGTAAGTATGGAATTGCAAAGAAATGCTTGCGTTCCACCATGCAGTAGGGTTTCCGTAAAGTCGTGATGGGTGGAGTTCGTCGAGCTCTTCGATCTCTTGCCACACGCGGATGCCGAAGCCGTTGCGGTTGAGCAAGTTGCCTTAGACTACCGCCTTGATCTTCGAAGCTGCTGTCTTGAGGACCAAAAAATGTGAGTATTTGATTCCATTTGAGTCAGCTAACACCATAGCTGTTAGTTGTCGTGGCCAGAACTCTGACCCACACCGTTCTTCTTCCGGTGGCATCGATTGTCCTCTTGGGCAAGTACTCGTAGTTCATGCCAGATTGATCGGCATTGTAGATGACCTCAACGCCGTTGCATTCCACGATATTGTGGACCTAATATGCAAATGCGGTAAGAACAGCCTCCCCTTCTTCAGTGCTGAATTGATTTGCACGACTTCTTGTTCGTAGGGATAGCTGCCATCGATTCATGAACGCCTTCACCCAAATTGTACTTGCTCGAAATTGGTCATCCGTGCGTCCTATGTCTTGCGCAACCTCACGTCCTCGTGATTGTAGCAACATGTTGCTGACTGGGATCCCATCACTTCGTAGCTCATTCACCCATGTCACAAGGCTTTCTTCGGTAGCTCTGTCCAATGTCGTCGACGTTCCTTGAGGTCTAATTGATTTCATTAGTTGGAACGATGGTTTATCGGCGGCTGCCTCAATTTCGGCCCTCTTTTTTGCCAGCTGTAGATTCCCTTCCATGCGGTCTTTCGTGGCGTTCCCGTTAAGCCGGGAAAGTACACATCCACGGCGTAGTTAATCGAGTGTTCTCTCGCGGCTTTGATTATGCATTGCTTATGCAAGATTGTGAACCTAGGTATCTTGTATTCTGGTGCTTTTCGAGCTACTTGCTTTACACTTGGGCGTCCTGTAGCCTTGCGATGTCCGCTTCGCGCCATGGCACGAAATCCCGCACAATGAGTGTCAATATTGTCTCCTAAACTTGATAATTTTAATTTGTGAGGTTCTATTGTCTGCTTGAGGTTCTTCCATAATTGCACGAATCAAAATATTATTTGATGGAATTTGAGAGAGTTCGGCCCTTACAAATCAGCTACGGTATTCAAATGATGGAGAATGGTTTATTGTTGTAGTAAAGGGTACCTGTAGAATTCTGTATACTATGTAATATGCATATTGTGCTCCGTTTCGAAGTGGGGGGAGATCAGTAGTGTTTTGCCGAACTCCATCACCCAATACAATCGCAAGAACCTTGTGATTGGATGAAATATGTTACTCCAGCAAGTAAATCCCTCATAATTTTATGGTGGGAAAAGGAGTAGAATTCAGAGGCAACAGGTGTGTTAAACGTGAATAATGCCGCCAATAACCATGTAGAGTACATACCGACGAGATTGCAGTCGCAGTGAGCGACGTGATCAAGAAGCAACACACCATTATATCCACTGCCATAGCATACAGTATCCCGCAACGAACATTACGCACACACGTGACAAAAGCCAAATCCAGCACGGCCAAAGGAACGAAGGGACCAATGCCAATCTTGCCGCCATCGTACAAGGCGGACTTGGTCACCTGGATCTTAGCAATGCAGCAAGATGGTCATGATGGATGCCAATACATCATGCACAAAGCCAGCCAGATGATGACCATCGTGCACGATCTCAACCAGCCGTACAATTTATCACCTGGGTGGTATGAGCGTTTCATGTGTCGCCATTCTGAGATGAAGATGGTGAAGTCTCAAGTCCTGAGCAAGGCTCGCAATAGCATTGACGCGGATACAGTTGTCGACTGCCACCACGAGCTCGTGCATTCCATTCCTCTAGTCGATTTCGAACCATCGCGTGTACAACATGCATGGATGAGACCAACTGCAGTCCAAACAAGATGTCAAGGAAGGTGGTTGTGCATCGCAACTCAGCCAAGGTATACGTTGAAGAAAGGTAGACATCAGAATATAAATTGTGGAATGTGTCTGCACAGATCGCACCCCCACCAATGTTCCACCGTTTATTATGCTTCATGGTTCCCGCATGACAACTGAAGTCTGTGACAAACTGGGTATCCCTGGCGCAGCCATTACAACTTGGACGAGTGCGTCGAAGGACGCTTCGTCAGCTGTGCGCACGGTCATGTTGTTCGGTGTCGAGGTGTGGGCAAAAGCGATTTCATTGCGTTTTGCGTTGTTTTGTATTAGTCGGGGTGATAAGTCGAGGAATATCAGCAAGCACAAGGCGATTGCTATTGCGTGCCGCGTTTGGATGACGCCGGAACAAACTTCAATTTCCAACGGTTTCGTGCGTACTGGCACTTGCCCGCCGTCGCAGGACAATTTGTTGTACCGGGTGTTACTTTTCAAGCCGTCTGTGCAAGAAATTCGTGCCGTCGAAAACAGTTGGTTGAATCTGCTTCTTCTGCCGCCGAAGAAAAACGTGAATGCTTCCAGAAATACATTGACTGTCAGCGGGAAATTCATTACTGCAAATTATCACGCTATTCTTCAAGCCCAAGCCACCTCTCGACCAAAGTCGCAGAAACAAGGTACTGGCAACGTAAGTGCAGAGTAGCACAATTGTGTCGACTCGATTATTGTGTGAAGCGGAGAATGAAGCATAATTGTGCTTGTATTATGGTCTGCCATGGTGTGTGAGTAGCAGCAACCTGGTGGTGCAACGAGTAAAATTCATACAAAGATAAAAGAAAAAAATTCCACTGTTGGTTTACCCTTGACATACAGGTATAGAAATGCACGGCCGAAGAGGAGACAGCAGCTGCTCAAGTAGAATTATTAGCGGCTCAAATCCTGGAAGAGGCGATGAAGTCGCAAGGTAAACGGAAGGCAAAGGACTTCGACAACGAAATTGCATCGACGGGAGGTGGAAAAATGTTAAAGGTACTTGCGTTGATGAACGAAGGTGATAAAAACGATCTCGATCTACGCAAGTTTATGTTTGAAAAAGAAATGGAAGAACGCAAAAGGAGCGCGAATTTCAAGCTGAAGACCGAAACAAGGACCGCGAGATTCAGGCACAACAAATTCAAATGCTGCAGACAACATTGACAACTCTTCTTAGTGCTTTGGTGAAGAAGTTGTAAAAAAGAAACAATGACAATTTGTCAAGAGCATGGCAACACAAACAATTTTTGCAACTGGTGATTGCATAATCTTCGCCTGGTTTTCGAAAGTGGTGAAACGCCACAGAGTTTTCATGATCTTGAAGTTCCATTTCACGGATTGTCGAACGCTGCTCATGGTTTTGTTAAATTGTTGTTGCTGGGGTGTCAACATGACTCCACGGTACCCACTCATGATAAATTTCGTCACGCCGTAAGCTGGATCACCGTATCTGTACTTCGACTAAAAAATGTCAGGGTTCTGTGCAAACACATCCAAGACTTTACTCATTGCAAGCATGGCCGAATCGTGTCGACGGCTTTCCACCAGGCTCCAAAAGTGATTGCATACTCCATCTGGAGCCGAAATGGCTTGGTAGTTGAGGTACTGCATATGCTTATGACCACTAAATATTTGCTTTTGCAAGTTGGAGCCATCACCAGTAGCAGATATGCGCAACGTTTGGGGATTTGTGCCGTCAATGAATCCAAACACACTGACAAGGGGTGATCCTTTGTTGGAAATTGCTAGGCAGTAGTGATCCATGCGAGCTCTGACCAGTTTCTTGTTCATGAACATTATAGGACTCCACCGGTCGAACAGATCGTGAACCAAATACAGGAATATATCACATAGTCGTCCCCGTGAGCGCCCAAACATGCGAGCCATATCATGGTACCGGCGTGGGAAGGTTAGTCGATTCAGCAATATACACAGGGCCTCATCACGGCAAATTCGTGACGCGTTGGGTGTTACAATGACTGCTGGGAGGTCAAGTACATGCCCGAGACGCTTGATTCCAGCAACGTCGAAGCGAAAGTCCAACAGGGCGTTGGCATCGGGGTAGTTGTCCAGAACAAAGCAAACATTGGGAAGAAGTGGTGGCTCAATGTACCGAAAGATGCATAACTGCATGAGCATGTGCCGAGCGCACTTCGACTTGACAAGGGGCAGTATCATGATGATTTCGTTAACAGAGAGTACCATGATCGTTGGTCTTGTAAATGGAATGAAAGAGCAAGTGATGTATTTATGTCAACCGATCGGGAAAGGAAACGAATTCACCGAAACTTGTAAGGGCCCGTCTGGAAGCCATCCAATATATTATCACGATATTGAAATATCTCATTCTCTGCATTTTTTGAAATGCAGATTCAGTATATTGAAATAGCGTGATAATATAAAATGCATTCCATGTTTGGCTGTACGATGTGATATGACGAAACGAAGCTTCGTCCCAAAAACGCGCGAAGATCAAAGCATATAATGACGGACGAGCAAGCATCCTGGACTGACGAGAAAGACGCAACATGGATGACGGACATGGTGTATCAAGTTGTCGTCTTGGGCAAGCGTGCCAATAGCGGCTTCAAAAAGGAAGCAAGTACCAAGGAAGAATGGACAACATGACAATCTTCTTTATGGCGACGCACGCACTGTCAAATGTTTCGTCTCTCTTTTTTGAAATGTGGAAAGGCGGTCATAATATGTTGATATTGTGCAAAATATACAAGTTCAAGACGTATATTCAATACTTCCTCTGTCCCATATTACTCGTCGATTTGAAAAACACACTTGTTCCATATTACTGAAACACAAACGCATTTGACTGGCTTACAAAAATTCTCAGCACCATCATTGGTTATTAATGCCCTCGCCTACAAGAGAAGCGAGACAGGGCACGACATGTTCGACATCAAAAGACCGGCGCGGCGCAATGCCGCCTTCTTCAAATATGGCAGAGCAAATTTGTTGTCGCCAGCATGCTCGAGTACCAGCCGCATCACAGCTTGAAAGGTGAGAAAAACACACTCGAGCTTCTCATAGCTCAGCTCATCAAACGCTGCGAGAGTGTATCGGATCACCTCATCCACAGTACGGCCTACCTTCTTCAACTGCAGGGACTGAATGGAAGATAAAAACCCGAGGTCCAGCACATTCAGGTCTGGGCTGTTTGGGAGCTGCCGGCGCATCACAAACGTCCAACCGTTTGGCACAGGAAACCTCGCGTAAGGATTGGGGCATGGCGGCAAATTCGAATGCGTGTTGATCTTTATATGTGGAGTGTTTTTATTCGGGTGGTGGAAATGAGAAGTTGATTTTGGGCGCCAAAATTCAAGTTACGCTCTTGACAGCCAATGAATGGTTCCTTCGGATTTTTATGCTCTAATCATTGAATGATAACTTTCATCAGGTTTGGTAATGAAATGGATTTGTGGGGTCGTTGAGAAGTCAAATCGACGAGTAATATTGGACAGAGGAAGTATACCGTTTTTCAGGATATATCATCACGAATATCATGATGTCTTTTGTCCCACAATTGGCTTCCAAACGCAGGATTTTTTGTAACGATATTCGACATATCACTATAAATCTCATAATATCGAGATATATCGTGTTATTTTGTGGCTCCAGACGGGCCCCAAAAATACTTTCTCCTCCTGCTCCGATTAATAAATAAACAAAAATAAATTTAAATATATTTATAAAATATTTGGATAAATAAAATAGTATTAAACATTTAGTATTTATTATTAATATATAACTATTTAATATATTTATTTTAGTTAATAATATTTTACAAAATATTTTCAAAAAAAGTTTTATTATTCTTAAATAATTAATTTTTTAAATTTTGTAGAATATGTTCGGAGGCGAAACAGGAAACGGAAAGGATTCTACCGAAACCTTTCTATTTTCAACATTTTTTGCTCCGTTTGGAACTGCTGAAATTGTAAGGTGACCAACTCATCGTGTTCAGCATGTCTCGGGGAATTTCTACACATACCTCATTTCTTGTGGTTGTGTAAAAATTGCGCGAGATACACTGAAGTTTGGGAAGCTGAAATACTGCTGACCACTGGGAGCCGACGTAAGTGCTGCCCGCCAAGGCTAGGGTTTGTTTACTCTGTCACTTCGTACTTGGGACCCCTGCTGCCTTCCTTGGCACTGTGTTTTTCTCGAGAGTGGTAGGTCCCGGTCGCACCAAGGTCTCGACAACGTCCCTTCCAAAACGTCCATGCAAGCCAGCACGATATGCATCAGTGGCCGATCCATGAGTGCAAGCCATGCCAACGAAGCCGTTGGGGCTTGAGTCCGCTAAACCTTTTCCAAAGGGACTGCTGCACGGTCGACGACTAGAATGGGGCTGACACTTTCGGGAGATGGACTGACAGAGGGCGTCAGCATCGAGGGGACAACGGATAAAAGAACTAACATAGAGAGAACTCAAGCCAATGCAGTGAAGCACATGGCACTTTAAAAAACGATGCCTGTCACGAGATGCATTATGACGATTATAAAAGCACAGAGAACTACACATGCAAGCTTCGGTCATTCGTCGCTTTGGCTGCCTTCACCAGAGCTGTCGTTGGAGTCTTACTCCAATGAATCACAAGCATCGATGTTACATAAAATAAAAAAAAACATTGAATATATAGGCATAGTATGCACTAAACCACTGTCCACCGCGAGAAAAATTGTGTCTGTGGGACTCGTGTGACGTGTGAAAAGTGGTTGGAAGGTGGTTTAGCAACAACACCACGCTCTGAGATGTAGTCGCTCCAAACTTCTTTGACGATTTTCTCGCTTCTGCCAAGGAGGCGGGCGATGTGTACGTTTACGTATTGAGTTCCGGATAGCCGGAAAAACGCGTGTAGACGTAAAATGTCCAGACGCTCCTTCTTTGTCAGAGCACGAGGACGCTCTGTCTTTACAAAGGTGGCAATGACATCGAACTGGGCTTTTTGCATGTTGAAGAATGAGGTGGTGATCTAGATAAAATTTGAAAGGTTGTATGCGAAACAATTGCTCTATAAAAACCCTTGAGATTTTTTGTCGTTCGGATACACAAATTTATGATTTGTCATAGTGTGTAATGTTACACAGTGCAAAATGACTATCATACCTCACTTTGACACGCCGTTTCTTAAAGAATACTGACTTTTAGAGTGATCGGTTAATACATACTACTCCGTTCCACAAAAACTGTCAGGTAGTTATTCACTTGATTAAAGTATACACAGGGCAATTGAAATGACTTGATTTTTGTATGCCACTTCAAAACAACATAACCCGCTCCGTTAATTTTATTGTATTTTTAATGTCTCATTCAAGAGAATTGACCATGGCATCGAGGTGAACCTCCTCACCAAGTTGGCTATTCAAATGAGCCAAAGCGCTCTCGTACAGGACGAGGCGTTAAACTCGACATTATACGATGCAAAGTCTGCAATGAGAGCGTCCTTCTTCATGTGAGGAAGCTTAAACTCGTTTCTGCCATGTATATCAATGGACAATTCCATCACGTTTTGAAGATTTACGAAAGTCTTTGCAAGCGTGTCAGTCGGCAACTCATAGAACGCATTTTCTA